TATATATATGTGTGTGTGTGTGTGTGTGTGTGTGTGTGTGTATATATATATGTGTGTGTATGTGTGTCTGTGTGTTTATTATATATATATATATATATAAACACTTATATAAACAATATATATATATATATATATATATAAACACACAGACACACACACATATATATATATAAATATATATATATATATATATATCCCTACCCTGTGGAAAATATCGTTCAAAGCAGCAGCTGTCTCGCCTGTGGCACCTCCGCGCGTGGGATGGATGGCCTCGATCATCCAGTACATGTGTAAAGTACCCGGTTTGTGCACAATGGACATGGACACATTATTCATCACACTGGGATACGAGATGGGAATCACAGGCCTGGGAGAAAAGATATATTAGTAATGTTTATATAAATAAGGAAACCCGGTACAGGATAAAAAATTGGAATAATAAGCTTGGGAGTTAAGGGGGAGAAAGTAATGTCCCTATCTGTGTGCATTAGAAAGTGCAGGACAGAATACGAGTTGGGAATCGGAGGCCTAGAGGGAATGGTGAAGATGGTTTTAGTATATATAAGAACTATTAGCAACGTATCAATAATACGATATTATCTATATAATCAATATATACGTATAACGTTTCTTTATGAACTATATATGATGAAAAGTAACGTAGACATGCAGGTCACCTATGGTCGGTTAAGAGAGGTATTTGCACATAAAAGTGGACTATAACTGAATAAGTGAAGGAGGCCGGGGGGGGGGGTAGTTTAGTAGGTCATTAATATCAACGAATCTATAATACGCTACTGTTTATATAACCGAGAAAGCTCACTACAAGTGCAGGTGAGCAGATGCCCGTATACCTAAAGCACCCGTCTGGCGCAGCATCAATATGGGCATGCTGTTCACTATGCTTTTTCTCTAAGGACCGCCAAAAACCGATCACAACATACACACTGATAAAACAATAAAGTGCCACTCCCATATATGATATTCATCTGCGTATGTCCTCAAGTTCAGATGGAATTCAGCGGCCACGGGGAAGGCATGCACTTAATATTGTTGTGGCTATGTGTGTGAGTCACCTTGGTGTAGATAATTACAATTTTATGTTGTAAACAGCCTGGATAGATGATCATGCTGAACATGGGTGGATGTCTAATGTGTGCACTATCGAATTGCATTCGTCATCGCAATCGCGTACGAGATAGCAATCAGCGATATTGCGAAATCGGTGAAGATCATGTATACATATTCATGTAATTTAAGTAGATTACATGTAGATGTTTCTATGTTGATATATACATATTCATGTATTTTAAGTAGATTATATGTAGATATTTCACAGGTGATATATGCATATACATATATTTTAAGTAGACTATATGTAGATATTTCACTGATGATATATACATATATATGTAATTTAAGTAGAGATTATATGTAGATATTTCACTGATGATATATACATATACATATACTTAAGTAGATTATATGTAGATATTTCATTGATGATACATATACTTAAGTAGACTTAATGTGGATGAGTTAATACTCCTGTGCAAAATGCCTGAACCATGCACATTGGATTTGCATTCGGACAGGATGTGAATCAGCGAGCCAGAGGCATACATGAGGAACGTGTGAAGGGAATACTATCATGTACAAACGATTGAGTCCGTTAATGCATATGTGAAGCCAATACTTGTATGTACATATGATTGGGTCGGCCCGACCGATACAATGATATGGACTTACATTTATACAGGGTTTATCAGATGCACAACCGAGCACATACAATCTGATTGACGTCATGAGGGCAATCAATAGGCCAATTAGACGTAGATACACATGTTCCATATACGGGATGAAACAAAACCTACGTTCGGAATATATCACAAGAGGATTTGGATCCAAAAACTACATTTCCAAGGTACAAAAGTGTTCGAACGTAGCCTATTCGATGCGTTAGTGATTGTGTGCCATTCTGCTGTATCTCCGCCAAAAAAAAATTGCCCACAAACTCACTTTTTGATGCCCAGAATATCTGAATAACGGGCCGGTGGAAAGGATTTCGGCATGTCGTTGAGTAATCGTTGATCCCATGCGACATAGAAACTGCAACCCCCCCCCCCCGAAAAAAAGGGGAGAAGCAAAAGATGAGTCATGAGTTGCGGCCAAAACCCATGCAAGGCAGCGATATGTCCAACACATGATAGACATATGTTCAACACATATGTTCAACACATGGAAGACATATGTTCAACACATGGAAGACATATGTTCACATGGTAGACATATGTTCAACACATGGTAGACATATGTTGTGTGCAGTAGCGAACTGTCGTATGACCAGGGCATATGCAATGAGCCAGGCCCACACTCGACGAGCGCATGGAAAATCATGTGCCAATAAGCAGCCCACAGATGCATACGCTCCTACGCTCACACAGAGACAGACAATAAGTCGTACAGCTATAAATTGAACAACTATAAATAAAACAACTTTAACCCGCACTTACGTATCGCCGTCGTAATCGCCCCCGGATGCGCGCATGGCGAATGGCGGCGTCACTTCCTCTTCGGAAGTACCAGATTTGTTTCTAACTCTTTTACGCGACGCTTCATGGCTGACAACCAGTGTGTCGTTAATATGGTCGTAAATTGCAGGTATGTCGATTGCCTCCAGCACCTGAATATCCCCCGGATGGTAGCAGGGCCTACGCCAGACGACTACTTTACCCACCTGCAAGATGGTGGTAAAAAACATGTCGGATTTGTTGGTTTCTACACGTGATTGATGAGGTCGTAAATACTAGCGACGTCGATTGTCTATTGTCGATAGGTCTCGCTGGCTTTCCTATTTTATCTCAACACAACCAAAACTAACACTGCAATTTACCCCAGATGGGAACAGGCTCTGAGCCATAGAATCACCAAACATTAAACCCTAAAACTTTGAACCCCGTTTGCACATGATAGATGTCATAACTAAACGATGGTACTCAGTGAATGTTGGTAGGTCATCAATTTGACTATATATGCGCTAAATATATAATAGGGTCAGTGACTACCAATACCACCGTGAATATTTATATATATATATATACATACATATA